GAAGATATTTGCAAAGAATATACCTGATAAGAGGCTAATATCCAAAATACATAAATAATATATATAACTCAACACTAAAAAAGACAACAAAAAATCCAATTTAAAAGAGAAGACATGAATAGACATTTATACAAAGAAGACACACAGATGGCCAACAGAACATGAAAGATGCTCTTCATTCATCATGAGAGAAATGGAAATCAAAACTACAATATCACCTCATACCTTTCCAAATGGCTCAAATCACACAAAAACAAGTGCGCGCAAGGTGCAGAGAAGAGGGAACCCTCCGACACTGTTGGTAGGAAGGCAGATTGGTGCAGCCACTATGGAAAACAGTACGGAGGTTCCTCAAAAAATTAAACATAGAACTATCATATGATCCAGTAATTCCATGGCTGGCTATTTACCCAAAGAAAACAAAACACTAATCCAAAAAGATATACACACCCCTATGTTTACTGCAGCATTATTTACAACAGCCAAAATATGAAAGCAACCCAACTGTCCATCCGTAGGTGAATGGATAAAGAAGATGTGGTGTGTGTGTATATATACACAATGGAATATTACTCAGCCATAAAAAAGAATATAATCTTGCCATCTACAACATAAATGAATCCAGAGGATATAAAGCTAAGTGAAATATAGTCAGAGGAAGACAAAATCGTATGACTTTGCTATGTGAATTTAAGAAATAAAGAAAAAAAGAGATAAAGACTCAAATATAGAGAACTGGTGGTTGCCAGAGGGCAGGTTGGTGGGGGGATGGGTGAAACAGGCGAAGGGGATTAAGAGTGCACTTATAATGAGCACTGAATAATGTACAGAATTGCTGAATCACTGTATTATACACCTGAAACTAACATAACACTGTATGTTAATTTTACCTGAACTAAAAAATAAGAATTTTAAGAAGCTTTTTATATATTAGTCAGTTAGCCCTTTACCTATGAGGTAAATTGCAAATATTATTCCAAATGCATCATCTTATTGTGCTTATATTTTTTGCCATACTATTATTTTTAAATCATTTGCATTTTTTTATTTTTTTAAGATTTTATTTTTTTATTTGAGAGAGAGAGAGAGAGAAAGTACGTGGGGGGAAGGCCAGGGGTGGAGAGTAAGAGGCAGGGTCCCCGCTAAGTGGAGAGCTGGATGCTGGGCTCCATCCCAGGACCCCAGGATCATGACCCAAGTTGAAGGCAGACACTTAAATTGACTGAGCCACCCAGGTGCCCCTGCCCTACAGTTTTTAATGCAAATTTCTTAATCACTTCTCTTACTGCTTTTTGGTTTGAGTAATAACTGGAAAGTCCTTACCCATACCCAAATTATGAAAGAATGCTCTTTTTATCCTAGTAATTGTGTGGTTTGGTTTCTTCTATTTAGATTTCTAACATATTTGGAATTTGTTTTGGTTTATGTTGCCAAGTAGGACTCAATTTTATCTTTTATCCAAATGGTTATTGTCACAATGACATTTATTAAAGAATTAAATCTTTTCCCCAGTGATTTCTTATGCCATATTAGGTATACACTATCCAAATATACTTCAGTCCATCTCTGGATCTTATACTTTATTCCCTTTGTCTGTCTATTCATGCTCTAACTCTACAATGTTACAATCACCTAGGATCTAGAATGTTAGCAAAACCTCCTTCACTGTTTCCAAGATTCCCAGCTTTTTAATTGTTAAATTTTTTGCAAATTCAGCTTTTATCTCCAGCATGAAACCTTATTTGCTTATTTGGGGAATTATGTTAAAGTTCTATATCAACTTAGAAAGAATTTATCTTTCTAAGTTGATTCTAACTTAGAATCAAAGATTCTAAGAATCTTTATGACAGCATTTGACCAAGTCTATTTTGTGACTAGTATAAAATTCTCTTCTTACAGGTTTTCACATTCTACTTTTAAGTATTTTATCTTTTTAAAAAATATGCTGAGGGGCGCCTGGGTGGCTCAGTCGTTAAGCGTCTGCCTTCGGCTCAGGTCGTGGTCCCACGGTCCTGGGATCGAGTCTGCATCAAGCTCTCTGCTCCGCAGAGAGCCCGCTTCTCCCTCTCACCCTGCTTGTGTTCCCTCTCTCGCTGTGTCCCTCTCTGTCAAATATATAAATAAAAACTTTTTTTAAAAAAATATGTTGAGATTTTCCTTATCGTCATAACTTTTTTTAATGAAGGCTATTAAATTTGTGTATTAATTTTAAAATCCTGGTGCATTATTCAGTACTTATTGACTACTGAGCTTTCTAGATGTATTTTATTTCTTCTGTAAATAGTTTCACCTCTTTTTAAATTTACACAACTCTCATTGTTTTCTCACTGATTTCACTGGCTAATGCCAGCGTAAAAAGTTAACATACTTGCTTTGATTCTGAACTTACGAAAATGTTTCTATTGTTTTACATATTAAGGAAGATCCTTGTTTTTAGTTCTGGGATACAGCAATTCTTATTGCAGCGATTTTTTTTTTTTTTCAAGTTAGAAATGGGTGTCGAGAGGCATATGGATGGCTCTGTTGGTTAATGTCAGACTCTTGATCTCAGCTGAGGTCTTAAACTCAGGTTCAAGCCCCCAAAAAATAAAGAAAGAAAGGAAAGGGTGTTGGATTTTGTAAGATCTTTTCAAGTGCTTAGGGGAGAAATTTTATGACTTTTTTCCTTAGATCTATGTACAAGATTAGTTATGCTGATTCAATTCCAAATATTGAGGCATCCTGGCATTTTCGGATAAATTCAACCTGGTGAGGTTTTATTTTAATATACTGTTGGTTTCTGCCGATATTTAAAATTTTTAAATCAATATTCATTACTGAGATTTGTCTACAGTTCTTTTTGTACATTTTCCTTCAGGTTTTGATCCAAATGTTGTATGTGTCCCATTTACGAACTTGAAACTTCCCATCTTTTTGGTAGAATTCTTCTGTGAAACTTTCTATGACTGATGCTGTTCTGTGAGAGGGTTACATTTCATTTCTTCTAATAAAGTTTATAAATTTATGCTTTTTATCAGAACTTGTCACTTTTGATAAATGTACTTTCCTAGGAATCTACTAACTTACCAAAGGTTATTTACTTATTCACTTACATAGTTTTCATTTCTCTTTTAAGCTTTATTAATTTTGGAATTTACTTTTACAATTTATTCCCTTCTGCTTTGATTTAGTTTTTTTTTTTCTTCTGAGTTGAAAATTTAATTCTCTTTCTTATAGTCTTAAGAATTTAAGGCTAGGGATGCCTGGGTGGCTCAGTCAGTTAAGCGTGTGCCTTCGGCTCAGGTCATGATCGCGGGGTCCTGGGATGGAGTCCCGCTTCAGGCTCCTTGCTCAGCAGGAAGCCTGCTTCTCCCGCTGCCTGCCACTCTCCCTGCTTGTGCTCTCTTTCTGACAAATAAATACATAAAAGATTAAAAAAAAAAAGAATTTAAGGCTATAAAATTTCATTTAATTGCCTTAAGTGTATATTGTCTCTGATATATTGTGCTTTATCAATTTTCTTTTAAAAGCTGCAGTATCATTTTGCATTTTCTTTGAACAAGTTTACTTTTGATAGCTTTTTAAATTCCAAGTGTATGTCATTTGAAAAATCAATTTCTAGTTTGCTCCATTGTGATAAAAGAATACTGTCTTATTTTTACTTTAAGGAAATTACTTTTTTCTTTGGAATCTGTATTATTAGTTTTATGAATGTTTCACATGTGCTTGAGAAGATGGTATTATCTTCCTACCAGAGTGTTAAAAATCAAGATTTGTGCATAAAATCGAACTTATGTTTGCTATTTTAGATCCTTACTTATTTTTTGGTCCTGTGAACTGACAGCTGATGTTTAGTCTCCCTATCTACAATTAGGCTGTCCTTCAGCTTAAGGTTTACATTTTTCTAGTGTTCATATTTTTTCTAAAATAGGTCTTGCTTATTTTATGTCGTTTATTTCCAATTCTTATTAGTGTCTACTGTAAAGTGGGAAAGGGGGTCTTTACTTCCATTACATCCTTAAACTATGGTTTTAATAATGCCATTAGTACAATTTTACCCCCAGCTATCCTACTGGATTCTATTATTTATAATCACATAAAGAATGATGATGGTGAAATAAATGGAAAATAAATCTTCACAGAAACGCTTTAAGTGACCTGTGATCACAGTAAACTAGTCCAGCCTCCATGTCCCATTGTATTCAGCTTTAAATTCTATTTTAAGCCAATGTTTTCTCTTCAGAAAATGAGCACAAACACTACCTGATTTAAACACTTGCTGCATTCCTCAATTCTGAGCTCTTCAGGACATTGCCTGGTGAACTTTACTGCTTTACTTTGGCCCAAAGCTGGCAAATTTGGGCCAATCCCCCCGAGTCCCCAACTATCCACCAAAGAAGAGAGTGAACATCTTCCCTCACAGATCTGGCAAACATAGGCATCCAGTAGCAATATATGCTTTTCAAACATTCTTTCTTGTTTAAAAACAATTTCGGATCTTGCATGCATACCGAATAAACGTCTGTTTTAAGTAATTTCTGACTCTCCACATGTAAAATACACTGATGTTCCGACTGATCAAAAACAACGTCTGCGGTTTATGGCTCTCACTGACAAACCTCCTCTCCCATGTGACACGCCTCCTTGGGGTCACAGCACCCCATCCTGTACCCTCGTAGATTCCTATTCACCCAGCATCCCACTGTCTCACCGGCAAACACACCGAAGCTTCCCTCAGCCCAATCCTACCCCAACGACATATTCCTACTGGCCCGAGCTCAGGACACAGCTACTCGGCTCCCCGGCTCGCAGATGCCGCCCCTTCACCCACCCAACACCCACGTCCTCGTTCCACCCAATACTAACCGCCACCGAGAACGCCTATATCATGTGCACTTCCGTCTGAACTCGGACAACTGGGGGCTAGGCCAGAACGCTCAGGATTCCGCAGGGGCAACCAGGCCGAGTTTCGGCGTCCCCCACCCCCAGGCCAGACACTGAGAGGTAGGACGACCACCCACCTTGTGGGTCCCGCAGCTCTTTTGCGCGACATTTCCCACGTCCCAGGCGCCCGAGCTGAGCGCTTCCCTCGTCTGTCCCGCCACTTTTGGGGCTCTGCGTGACGTTGCCAGGTGCCTCTGCTCCGGGGCCGAGAGTCTCTCGCGTCCATCCCGCTGCTTTTACGGCTCTGCGCGACATCTCCCAGGAGTCCCTGCCGCACCA